TTAGAGCCAAGATGTCCTCTCTCTGTCCCTCTCTTTTTTCTTTCTCTTCAATGAATTGGAGGATTGTATTTTCTACCACGTGTAACTAACGTGATGGGAACTAGAATGGTACTCAGACACACCAATATGGATAGCACAGTTTATGCGGGAGCTGGGCTCCAGCTCCTGTGTTCAGACTTGAGACCACATCTCGTAGATGAGGTGGAGGAAAGGGGTCTGTGTCTCGGTGGGGTCATTCACGCTATGTGCTCAGATATTTACGGCTTTGTCCAGGTACAGGCTGTACGGCTTCCCACGGCTCTGGTATTATCATAGTCTTAGTGGTTTAAAACAACAGACACCCATTCTTGCACAGTTCCAGGGGCCAAAAGTTTAAAACCAAGTTGTCATCAAGGCCACGCTCCATCCAAAGGCTCTGGGAAAGAATCTCCCCTTACCTCTCCCAGCTTCTGAGGGCTCTGAGCAGTTTTGGCTTGTGAATGCATAACTCTAACTCTACCCACCTTCACATGGTCTCACTCTCTCCCTCCCTCTCTCTGTTTGTAGACGCACATGCATCCTTTTGTGTCTCTTTTTGTGGTACTGGGGATTGAGCCCAGGGCCTTCACACTGAGCTATTTCCCTAATTATTTATTAACTTATTTATTTATTATTTATACATTGTGAGACAAGATTTCCCTAAATCACTAAGTTGCCCAAATGAGGCTAAAACTTGTGATCCTCCTGCCTCAGCCTCCCAAAGTGCCAGGATTATAAGTGTGGGCCACCATGCCCAGTCTTTTATGTCTTATAAAGAACTTTCAGTGGATTTGAAACCACTCCAATCCAGTATGGTCTCATCTCAATCCTTGTCTTATTATACCTGCAAAAATGAACAGTATTTCCAAATAAGATCATATTCTGAGGTTCCAGATGGACCTGGATTTTGTGGGGATGCTAACCCACTTCACAGATGTCACACAACATTTTAGTATTAACCCCAACCATTGTTATTTCATATTGTTGAATTACTTCTACTATTTGTTAATACAAATCAGTAGCAGTTCCTCAAGACAGTTTAGTTTCGTTTTTAGTGTAGTTGGCTCTCAGTAGATTATCAGCTGAATGTGCAGTTTAATTATGAATAAGCTAGGGTCTCTATTACCCAGAGATTTCAGCCAGTACTTTGATACAAGGCACAGTCCATAGGCTGACAGTCAATAATGTCAAAGCACTAAAAACATTTACAAAACAAGAAGAACAGCAACAACAAAAATGTAGGGCAAAAGATCTAAGAAATCAATCAAAAGCAAAACAAAAAAAAAATTCATCAAATAACTACAGTGTGCTCTAAGCAGCAGAAGTATTCTTGGACTGCTGTGGAAAGGCCAAGTCATATTGTAATATCCAAAGGCTATGCTTTTCCGAGATCCTTCAGTGTCTAGAGAGCTTTTTAATTAGGTGGATTATCATTCATAATGTGACCTTTTAAAATTTAGACTTCCAAACTTGGTGCTTTCTTAAGGTAGGGCACATATTCACGACTCGGAAGTCAGACTCCTTAGATTTTGTAATCTGACGAGTTTTGCTTTGCACGTTACACAGATGCCAGTCTCAACCAAAGACCTTACAAACTGGTGAGTCTTGCTTTGCATGTTACACTGATGCCAATTTCAACAAAAGAGAGACACTCTACAGCACGGCTATTAACCCAACCGCCAATTAGAAAGCATACACATGAAAGTAGATTGCAGCTTATTAGCGGCAACCCTCAATTAGTAATTGCAGTGTTCAAATCAAGGTGGGCGAGATGGTCATGGTGGTTAGCGAAAGGCAGGGCATGGGGAATTAACATAAAAGTAAGGCTGGGAACACACAAGGAGAGCTTTATGCATATGTACAATAAAATAGCTATCAACAAGACTCAAGAAATCCATCGGCAAACTCAGTCATTCATTTAACCAGTGGAGAAAATGGTCTTAAATAGGAGAGATTTGCTAAATTTCCTGACGCTGTGTTATCTTGTCCTAGATAGTTGTTTGTTTGAATATTTATTTATTTTTGTGGTACTACAAATTGAAACCAGGACCTGAACTACTTCCTCAGCCCTTTCAATTTATTTGCTTGTCTGTTTTTAAATTTTGAGAGGGTCTTGCTAAGTTGCCCAGGCTGGGCTCCAACTTGTATCCTTCTGCATAAGCCTCCTAGAGTGGTGGGTTTCAGACGGGAGCCACCGTGCCTGGCTTGTCCTACATTTTAATAACCAAATAGGCAATGAGAAGAAAGAGAAAGTGACCGCAGAGGTATCTTGGTGGCAAGGTTTCAGTAAATGATTTAAAACAGTAAGTGATGTGTGTTTGTGTATGTGCATAGGGGCATGTGTTTGTACATATCCTCAGATAGCATGGTTTCAATTTTTAAAATGGTATTCAAGTATAGGCACAAGAATGCACGTAAAAAAATTAAAGGAACCACCAACAACCAATGACTCATCAAACAAGACCTGTACAACACAATTTGATTATTCTTGAGGCTCTGTAGAGCAGGGTATATATTGTGATGTTAGGTTCAACAAATCCAAGGTAAAGTCTCAATCAACTCAGTTGAAAATCTGTCTTTGTGAGCTGGTATATGAACTGTCCTTTAGTTTTGAACCTCATCTTTTTTTGTTCTTGTTTGTTTGGTACCAGCAATAGAACTCAGGATCTTATACTTGCAGGCAGGTGTGCCCCACTGAGCTAAATCCTTTGCCCTGTCCTTTAGTTTTAAAGAGAAAGTTTGCTATGAACAGGTCCTGTGAATATTTGTCTGTAGCAGTCATAGGCCATGGGCCATAAAGATTTCTGGGGCTTCAGTAAAAACAGGTGTAACTACTGTCCGGCTTCTGGCTCAATTACCTCTTGTACGTCAACTTCGAGAGACCATCTCCTGTCACCCATCTCAGGGGTCCCTGGTGCTTAGGACAGAGCTTGATGCAGAAGTCAGTATTTGACAAAAACTGTTAAACTGATTTTTCAAATCCATACCTTCTGCCTAGACCAATTTAGACAGTTTTAGACCTAACTTTCCCACTATCTTCTAAACATCTCTACTTACATGTGTCTTTCATTCAACATAAGTGCACCCTAAATCAAAGTGTACGACTCCCCCAGAGCTTGTTCCCCTGTATTCCTTTTTTTTTGGTACCGGGAATCGAACTCAGGACCTTGCGTGTGCCAGGCAGGCGCTTGTGCCACTGAGCTACGTCCCCGGCCCTCCCATGTATTCCTTAAATCCTCGCTACCACAAAATAACCCAGGCCACATAAGCCAGCCTCTTCCATAGCTCCAGGTACGCCTCCCTTACCAGCCCTTCTGAGTGTCTCTAGGTAATTGCCATCTTTAAACTCTTGAAATTGCCACCTGTCTTACTCCCGTCTTCAAAAACCTTTGAAAATGATTTTCCCCCTAAAATGCAAATGCATTCATACAGTTTCCTCCTTATAATGATTCCACTTGTCTGCTGGACAGAATCTACGTCCCTCAGCACCTACATGGCCTGTCACGCAGGCCCACACCGCTAGACCCATCTGTCTCCCCATCCTCAAATTTTACGTGTTCAAAACTACCGTTCTCAGATCGTTTCCGGGCCCCACATCTAAACCTGGCATTTGTTGGAGTCCCGCTGCCTGGAAAGCTCCCCTTAGTCACGATTACCCCTCCCTTCTGGGAGATTCTTACTGGTCCTTTAAAATTCAGCTCCGACCGCCGCCCCAAGACTTGGGTTCAGCGTTCACCACCTGCTGAGCGCTCTGAAGCCGAGCCGGGTGTCTTCATCTTTGCGTTTTCAGCCAGCAACACTGCAGCATGTTTTTTGCAGACTGAAGAAAACAATAAATGCTGAGAGAGAGCCCATGGTTTCAGCTCAGTGCCCACGCTTTAGGGAAGGAGAACTGGGGACAGGAGAGGTGACGTGACTCCATCAAGGACCGGACAGACAGGAAGGTGGGGCCCTGGAGTGCAAGGCAGACCCTCTGCTTTAGGCAGCGCAAGGCCCTCAAGGAACAAGCCACAGGGAGCCCTACACGGGGAGCCCTAGCGCAGCTCTTCGGTTACACTGTAACACGGGCATTGTTACATTGTTGCACTGGCAGACACTGCGCTTTTTTTCAACGCGGGAAGACAGCAGGGCTTAGCTGAGGTCGGTTAGCGTTTCCTCCCCTGCCTCTGGGGTTCCCAAAGGAAGAGCCCGCATCCTCTTTCAGCTTCGAGGGTGACCAGAACCGCAGGGCTCCAGGAAAGGCCTCTCCCTGGAAGATTTCTGCTTAGGACCCCCACCCTGCTGGGCTAGTTTCTGTCTCTGGAAACCCTGGCGCCAGGGGTGGCTTTAAGGTTGGGAGCGGCTCTTAACAAATGGAATTAAAACTGGAGAAAGCCCCTTCAACTTTGCTCCGCCGCCTTCCAGGGTGCCCGAGGCCCAGAGACCAGTTTCATTCAACTTTTTCTGCCCCGCGGGACAAATAGCAGGGTCGTCCGGGGGATCGGATGAGAGCACTCGCGACGCTACTAAACCACTTCGCCTTTCTGCGAAAAGAGGGGGCTGGGGCCGGGCGTGGTGGCGCACACCTGGAACCCCAGCACTGCGGAGGCTGAAGCAGGAGGATTGCAAGTAAGCACCCTGTCTCAAAACAGAAAATGGGGTGGGGATGTATCTCAGTGCGGAGATCCTGGGTTCAAGCCTCAGTACTGAAAAAAATGAAAGAAGAAAAGGAAAGAAAAGAGGGGTTCAGTCACCCCGGTTGGGACACGCCTGGCTGACTCAGTTGCGCGCGCTGGTCCCGTGCTCCTCGGGGCCCGGGGGCGGGGCCTAAGACCACGCCCCCGGGCTTTGATAGGTCCCTTCGAAAGAGGCGGCGGCGCTCCGCTGCGAACCCTGGGACCCTGGCGGCCCCGCGGCGGTTGGCGGGGGCGTGTCGGCCGGCACAGATTGAGGGAGAAGTGGCCGTCCCGCGCCCGCGCCGGTGAGTACTTCCCCGGCGGCCCTCTTATCTTCTCACCAACTTCCCCTCGCCTTCTCGGGTGTCTCGCGACTCAGAGCGCGGGCTGCGAAGCCCCTGGGGGTCTGCGGAGCCCAAGTGGTTCCGCGGGGGTTCGGAGCCGGGGATCTGAGGGGCTCCGCTATTGGCTGGCTGCGAAAGGCGCGTGCTCTGATTGGCTGCCGACGCTGTCACGGTGAAGCGGTGCCCACCTCTGCCCCGGGCGACCCACAGGTGTGCGGGGCGCGGCAGGTGCGCGAGCCGGGGGCAGAGGTGGGAGCCCGCGCGCCCCGCTTTACCTCGGAGGCGGGATCGGGCCTGATCGCAGGGCCCTCATCCCTAGCGCCTGGCACAGGGCTCACATGAATCCTCGCGATTGCCCCCGAAAGAGGAGTTGACGCCGTCGTCTCGCCCTTGGCGAGGCTCAGCCTCCGCCGCATTCGTACCCTCCGGCCCCCACAGGGCTCAGCTGTCCCGCGGGACGGGACCGAGGGCTTTCCTGCAGACCTTGCGCAAGCCCGTCCCACCCACACCCTCAGCTCCGCGCACCGCCCCGGGGGAGGCTTGCGGGCGGGGTGGGTGCGACTGCTGTGGGAGGCCGAGGGAGGCGTGGGCCAGCGGGCGTCCCGTGCGGCCACCCGGTTGCTTCCTCGGCTTTTCGCATCCGGAGACCGAGTCTGCCCAAGGTGGAGCGCGCGGGGCACGAGTGGGCGGGGCAGCCGGGCCAGGCTTTGGAACCGGGAGACGCGGGTTTTTTTGCAAGCCTGGTCTAGGTGAGAGCCTGGGTTTTTGCTTCGCACGAGTGCAAAGCATTAATAACTACTTTCTCACAAGATAAGCAGGGTTGTCAACGGCTGACTACCCCTTCTGACATGCAGGGAGGTGGGAGTGGTGATTTTCAGCGCCTTCGATTCGAGGTGGACAACGGGCGGGCAGCAGTGCACGCGGGCATGTGACTCATCGGTTTGCAGAACTCAGTAAAACTAACTGACGTTCAGCAGTAGGTGTCTGCTGCTTTGAAATTATTAAGTTAAAAGTAGTATTTCTTTTGAGAAATACTAAGAGAGTTGTTAGGCGTGTAGGATCTGACATTAGACTTTACTAGGTGTGTGACCTTAGGCAAATCATTTAATCTTTCTAAGCCTAAATTTCCTAATCTGTAAAAGGAGATAATGGTAATAATAGTTCCTACTCTATTGATGTGAAGGTCATTGTGAGGATTAAAGGAAATAAATATAGCTAGCACGGTACCTGACACATAGGTTTTATTATTTGTGTGCTGTTTAACTTGGATTAGAAGCTATCCACAAGAATGCGGAGAAGCAGAAGGTGAAGGCTGTGCTTGAGATAGTGATGTTTATCATGCATTGATTCATTCAGGTGAAGCACCTAAAATCATAACTGAAACATAATAAGGACTTGTGTTGCTATTTATGAAACATTATTACCTAGAATGTACCAGGCGCGGTATTCCAGGCACTTCACTTGTATTACTGTTTAGTACTCCTGCACTCTAGTTGGTTTTATTTCCATTTTGGTTGAGACAAAGTCTCACTATGTAGTGCAGGCTGGCCCTGAGCTTACTATGTAGCTGGTAGTGATCCTCCTGCCTCAGCCTCCCAAGTGCTGGGATTATAGGCGGGTGCCACCATACCCAGCTTCTTTTTACAGATATGGGGACTAACACTGGGAGAAGGGAAAGAATTTATGAAGTCCACTAAAAATTCCATGCTGACTACCTCACTCCAAGCAGCATTCAGGCTCTTTCCTGTATCTACTTTTGCTTTATATTTCTAACCTTAGACTACTCTCTTGGGCTAGGTTGTGTGTATGGTCCAGTTCACTTCTGCTGAGGGAGAGGGCTTATTATCAATAGTTCATTAATTTAAAAAGTAATGAGAAGTAACTTTAATAAGAGAATAATGTCAACAGCATGCATGCTATTAGTAAAAAACCACATGAGTCCAATAATATGTGGAAATCAGAAGTACTGTTCCCTAATTTAAGGTTCCTCAGTTTTTGTTTATTCACAGTTTTTGCTACAAAGGCACTTTTTAATATCTCAGTATGTTAGAAGATAAGGGGAAACTTTCACTTGGTTCAGTAATTTTTTTCAAGCTATTGATGAAGAATCACGTTAATATATGCAATGTATATTTCCCTTACAGTAATGTGTGCATGTATTTTGCTTAGTGTTTATTGCTTTCCATGCTTTGATTAGGTATGCCTTTGCGCCCTAAGAAGCCATGTGATGTACATTGGATGGAGAGAGCAGGAAGGTGGAATCTGTCATCCAGTTCATCTCCTGTTTAGTTTCTTAATGTTTAATTAGAATTGTTATAAAGAAATGCCTCAAAAGTAATGATTAGAATATATAGACAATAATTACAATTGTATTTCTTTAGTGTTTCACCTAAAATCTCAAGCTGTATTCTCAATTTATTACATTGTTAAGAATAGGGTATATTGTTTAATAGGAAGTTACTATCTAATTCATAAATGAGTAACAAACTTCGAAAGAACTGGAACGTGGCAGCCGCACTAAGTATATCTGTGCTGTGGACAGCATCGGAGGAATCCGTGGCATTCAGCCTCAGTGGTTTGCTGGGTGCTGCTGACATGCTGGCTGACAGCGGTTTCTAACTGCTATCACACATCAGTTCACCATAGGACAGCGCGCTATTGCCTACGGGGAAGGGCTTACTTTATATAAAGTGTTAAACATAATGTCCTTCTTTTCCCTTGATATATGATTTATTTACACACATACACGCGCTTGCACACGTGCACACATGCTCCCACACCTACTTTTTCAAGTGCTGGGGATTGAATCCAAGACTTCACGTATGCTAGTAAGCGCTCTACCCTGGAGCTACACCCTTATCCTGGATTTGTTTGTATTTTTGATTCTAAAAATGAAATAGGTTGTTGGAAAAAAATTAACAATGTTCAAAATCTTTTTTTAATGCACACATAATTTAAAAAAACTCTGCGATCTCAGTAACATTGTATCCACTGTTCTATTGGCTGCTTTGGTTCACATAACATAATAGACGTCTTTTCATATCAGGGGAGGTGGCTCTGTCGTACTGTTCTGAGTGGCTTAGTGAGTCCAGTGTATGAGCGTCCAGTACACCAGTTGAGCAGTTTTCTCTTAATGGATATTAAACATTATTCTCACCTTTCTTTATGTGAGTGTACTGTATGTTTTCTATATTTCTCATTTTTAGTTTAATATATATATATGCAAACTGATTTAAGTTTGTTTTAAAATTTGTGTCCCACGAAATTTTATGACAAATTAAAAATTCCATCTAATATAAAGCTAAGTTATTCAGATTGAATCACTGCCAGATGTTGCAAGCGGTCAGAACCCTGGCCCCTTACAACAGCTGTTCTCTTGGTGCTTCTGCTGTACGCCGGCCTCAGCTGTTTTTGGTTTTTGATATTTTTCGTAGTCCTGTCTTACACAAGGCTGCTCATGTGACTTGCTAGTACCTTGCCCAGTAATCACTGGACATATTTTACTTTGGACATACTGAGGAAGAGGCAAAATCATGTCTCAGGCCAGTTCGTGTAAATAATGACGATGATGTGCTAATTATAAATGGCAATACCCAAATGTCTTCCATCTGATCATGGTTTACTAGTGACTGTTTTCAATGCTTTCTCTGTTCAGAGCCTGTGCAAAGAGGCATAGAACTCTTCTCTCTCTCTCTGGTCGATTCCTACCATTCTTCAAGTTCATGCTTTCCCTCCAGCAAATGATTTCCTTCGATTTAAGTCTGAAGTAGGTGCCTGCCTTTTTCTCTTTTGGGGACTGTTCCTTCTTTCAAATCAGCGGCAGTGATTTAGCATTATGCATTCATTTGTGTCTCTGCTATTTTTAGCCTTCTCAACTGGTGCATCGTTTGCAGGGGCCGTGCGTGGTGTCACCGGTGCGGCCGGGTTCAGGGGAAGGCACGAATAAACGCTGCCGAATCAGTGTTTCCCACGTGAAAATGGGTACAGCGTGAGCAGTGGCAGAGCCCAGCAATGAGGCTGCCTGGAGCAAGGGCCTGTGTCCGAAAATTCCTGAAGACTAATTCTAGCTAAGAGAATCTTAAGTATGAGTTCTGAGTGCTGATTATGATGTGGGTATTTGAAGACTTTTATCTTCACTGTATTTATTTTTATATCAGCAAAAGGAACTCTGTAAATTATATTTAATGTCTGAGTATTTTTAATTTGATAAATTACAATAAATGAGCTATAATTATGGCTGGTGATAGAACTATAAGAACTCATTTATTAAGTGCTAGTTATATGTCAGGTACTGTGTATCATCTCTAATTTTTACAGTGGCCATATAAGTGAGGTGGGAATATCCCATTCTTCAGATGAGCACACTGTGGCTCTGGGAGGTTAACTACTTCAAGGTCATTAATTAGATGTGTACCAGATGTGTCTGATACCTTCCACCACCCCAGGGTTGTTTTTAGGGCAAGTTATGTTAGTTCACATTTAAAAATATATGAAACATATTTGGTATGTATATAGCATTTCTATTTTCTCTGTTAGGCAATTAGAAAATATTTGTCATAATTTTTTTGTTTTTTTTTGGGACAGGTTCTCCTTATGTAAGTCAGGTTGGTCTTGAACTCACTCTGTAGACCAAGCTGTCCTCAAACTCATGGGGACACTCCTGTCTCAGCCTACTGAGTGCTGGGATTACAGGTGTGCATCACCATGCCCAGTGGTGGCATACTCAAAATTTTAAAGCTGAGAGTTTAAAAAAATTTTAAAAAATCAGCAAAGTTACTTTTTTCCAACTGTTTTTCTAAATGAAACATTATAAATGTTATTTTTTGACACATGGACAGGCAGACAGTCCTGTATAAAAATACCTGTGTTCTCACCACTTACCATGGTATAAAATATTTCTGGTTCCATCGAAAGAGCCCCTCTGCATTTCTCCCAAGTCTGCTCTTCCTCTGCCTTGGCAGTCACGACTGTCCCGGCTCTGGTCTCTATCCTACCCTTGCAGCTCTGTGTCTTGCCAGTACTGGTGGCTGAGTGGTGAACGGATGTGCAAATCAGTGGCAACTCATGTTATATTTTTCCTGAAGAAACTTACTTTGCTTCTGTGCTTGTTTGCTACTCTTCCGGATTGAACGATTGTATCAGAATGAGCCATGATACTTTGAATTCTCTCCATCACATTTGATGATGTGGAAGAGGGATGAAAATGTGGTTGCTCTTTCTGCTACACCAGCGTCAGAGCCTGCAGCCGTGAGACCGAGGCTCAGCGCCACAGGTTGGCTTTTTCACGGTCTAAGCCAAATTACAAAAAAAGCCTCACTGTAAATAATCACTGTGTTATTTACAGTGACACTGATGGACACTTTTTAGGATCAGTAGGGTAGGCCCAAGTCCTGGCCAAGTTTCAGGTGGACACACGCACGTTCTGGCATTTCCCGCAGATGTGTATGGCATTCTTACGATCTATGCAGAGGCTTATCTGATGAGCGATCCCAGTGGAGTTAGAGTGTAGGTGAATTTGGAGTTCTTCCTCCAGCCGCTCCTTTGGCTGGTAAAGAGTCAAAGTAGACTTTTCCAAAGAGGGAGAAAGACAAAAGCAAAAATAAAGCCCCCAAAAGCTGCCAATTAAGATGATTAAGATGTAACTCTAAAAATGAAGTGTTAATGATTCAGTCTAATTGGTTTATATGGAAAAAATTAAGGTTGAGACTTTTAGGCAAAGACAGAAATGATGAAAATAGGCTAAAAAAAAAAAAAGAGTGAAAAGCAAGACCTATGGTCATGGTGCAGACCAGGGGCTGGGAATAACCAGGAAGCTACTCTTGTGATTAAATGCCTGCGATGCAAAGATGATTTAGAAAGAGAATAGTGAATGACTAGAAAATATAACGAGTAAACTGATCCTTAATATCTGAACATACTCACTGAGTAACTGATGATTAACTAATACGTTGACTATTTATATAACTTTTCCAGTAAAGACACATATACATGTACTTAATGTATGAAGATATAGTAAAGTATAATTTATCTGAGTGTTCTTTAATAAAATAATCTGGATGCTTATATTTTTGTCATTTTAAAAGTAGTTCTTTCTATTGCACAAGAATGACTCAAAACTATACATAAGACTTTTGCCAAAGTTCCAGTACCTGAATATTGTTCACAAATTCTTCATTTAGTTCATAAAACTAATTTTGTTGAGTTGTCTGTAAGAAGTGCAACTACTGAACATTCTTGCGATGGCGCCTTTGTGAATGTGTCACTGTTCTGGATTTGCACACGCCTTATAATTTGGGCTTGCTTTTGTTCTGGGCTGGCAGTTCCAACTGTTAAAGCTCTTGTCTGGTGCTGAGGAACTCCATTTTCCTAGCGGCAGCCTCTTTGCTGCATTTTTAAAAAATGGACTCGGAAGCTTCTTACTGTGGATCTTTGTTGGGGACAAAGGATTATTTATGCTAAAGGAAAATGTATTCCCCACTGAATTGGCTCGTGGGAAGCATAACAAGCTCGTTAGTAATGCTCACTTGTACTTTGGCCTTTCGCTCTGAGAGAGAGAGGGAAAAATGACATCAAAAAGGACATTCTGTTGTCTTTTGCCTTCCTGCAAAGAAAATGTGACATAATGTTAGGCCTGTCAGTTAGGTTCAGCTCAGGTTCAACTGCGGTAACGGGAGAAATGGTCCTGAGGGAGCGTGGGTGCACGTTAGCGCTGTGCGTGAGGCGTGTCTGATAGGACTTGGAGGAGAAAGAACTTCTCCTTGGAAACTGATGGCATTTTAGCCTTATAAATGGGTCAGTGGCGCAGCACCTGCCTGGCAAGCGCAAGGTCATGAGTTCAACTCCCAGTACCAAAAACCAAAACAAGAAGTCCAAATAAGGTTACTCATCTCTATGAAGATGAGATGAAAGATGCTTGAATTTCAGCTTCAGTTTTATGATATTTATGTTTACGTAATGTTTATATCATGTTTACAGAGGAAAATAGAATTCCAGGAAACTATCACCTGGGCTAAGCTTAATTGTTAGTTTTATCTTACTAGCCAGGTACTTCAAGAATTGCTTTGATACCAGTGATAGAAACAATGTATTAAAGTGTGTTTAAGGATTTCCTCTTTCAAATGGGAAATCCCCTTAATCAAACTATCCTAACTTGAAGACAATACGTTAGGTTCTCTGTCACACAAAGAGCAAAGCACATCCTAAATCTTGTAATTTGGGGGCACCGGGGAGTAGGAAAACTTCATTGTCTGCTCGTTAATATATTGTTTCTTTTTCAGAATAGCAGTTTTATCTTTATATAGATGACCATGCAGCCTGCAATTCAAGTAAGTATTTTTCTTGGAAAAATATGTATTTACATTATGTATTAATATAATTAGTAGAGTACTACAACTATCACCAAATGTTTTTATTGCATTAGTATTTTTAAATATCACATTTTAATAACGGTACTATATTTCAACTCTCTACTTCTGAAAATATTTTATTTCTAGGCTTGTGTATGTGTTGATGATTTGAAAGAATTAGAAATATCTTAGGTTGGTGGGTGTATCTTATTGCACCACCTTGAAAAATATTGAAGTATTTTGTAGTTTTCCTCTCAATACTATTGAGTATGTATTTGCAATTAAAAGAGCTTTCAGTGAAAATAAATGTACGTTTTTGTTTTTATTTTAGATAATTGTGCATGTGCTCTGTGAATGCCCGTGCGTGAATAGGCATTAAAATTAGAAATTTGAAAGAGGGAAGTTTTTATTTTAGGGTGAGGGATGAGATGAGCCAGAATAATATTATACTTGAGTGATTCCAGAGTTGGTGTTTGCTATGTTATTCTCCAATCTCCCTCTTTTCTTTCTTTTGATATAAATAGAACATGATTAGATTTTTAAAGATAAAAGTCACGTTAAATATCTGTGCCTAGAAAGATGCAAGCAGCAGAAAATAAAATGCATTCGAAAGAATGTAGGAGTCAGATTTCAGTTCTGCCCCTGTGAGATCTGGGCAAATTATTCTACCTCTTTGAGCCCCTGCTTTCTCACCAGTAGGGGCAGTCCTCGTTGTCCTATGTTCGATGACCTGTACTGAGGACCTCCCGGAATGCACATTGCCTAGATGGCACCTCAGAACCGTGGCTGTACTGATGGCACACCAGAATTATCCAGCTGTAAAACTGAATCTCGAGCTTGTGTCATGAAAGCCTGTTCTTTTATTTTCCCTTTTCATTCTTTTTCTTTTTTTTTAATTAAGAAAGATAACAATAGATGAAGGCCTAGAGAAGAGAGTTCATTTGTGAAATGGCTAAGAATAACTGTGCTGCGTGTGGTGGTTTTCACCTGTAATTCCAGCACTTGGGAGGCCAAGGCAGGAAGATTGCCATGAGCTCTAGGACAGCTTAGTCTATGTAGTAAGCTCAAGGCCAGCCTGAACTACATAGCAAGACCCTGTCTAGGAAAAAATAAAATAAAAGAATAACTCTGAGGATAACTCTCCTTACACAGCGTCCTATTCAGTGCCACTATCTATACCCATCTGCTCTACTAACAGAGTCCTTTTGAGACCTAGGGGTTTAGGATAGTTTCCCAAAGGCCTTGTTCCTCACCTTCATATGTTTAGAATTCCTTTCACTCAAAGCTGTCTTTGATTTGAGTTTTTCTATCTATTCTGTCTTTCTTCCTGCCTCGACAATTCATTCGTTTCCTGTCAGTTATTTTCTTGATTCCTTACAAAGTGCTTTTCTTACTGCCATGTTGCATACTGACCATGTTTTTCTGATTTCTGCATGAAGGGTCATTGATGTTCTCTTGATTTTTTTCACACTTTCATCTTACGGGTCCGTGAAGTCTTCCCTGATCTAGCTTGTACAGATCCATCTGTATTAATTCGTCTCCCACAGTTTCACTCTTGATGTTTCTCATGGAGGTTTTTGCGCTTCTCCCTCATGTGAGAACTTCCAGAGATTTTCATCTCTTTCTTTGCTAACTATATTAGACAGCTAGTTATGTATAAATGCCTTGTGAGAGGAGACATTCAGTAAATAGCCAGTATCAACTGATCTCTTATTAATTCAATACATTAAATGTCCTATGCTCTTCCTCTATGTCCTTTATTCTGATTAAGAAAGAAACACAAGTCTCACAGTCAATGAACAATAACAGTTCACCATCTCTTTTGGTTTATAGTCCTCTTGGAGAATCCGGTAAAAGCTTTGAACTCTGTTTCTGAGGAGGGCTCATGTGTACATAGGCGTACAATTTAACCTAAACATAAGCGAGCTCTGTAGATTGGCTGTAGGTTAAGAATTTCTGCACTATGACAGCTCTCAGCTGTCAGTTTTTGTTGTGAACATCTAACTTTTAACATTAATATGCTTCTGAGTAGTCCAAGATGTTACTAAATCGTCTGCTTACAATAAGAGGAAATGCAACACATCTTCTTTTCTCTCCTGTGGCAAAAAGTGAGCATGACTTCTGTTAACGTCACTCTCTCCGGGGCACCATCAACTTTTTTCATACCACCCTTCTAAATCATGCTCATCTTTTGTGTGTGTGTTCCAGTAAAACTTTACTTATAAAAATAAGCAGTGGGCCAGATTTGGTCACAGATGTAGTTTACAAACCCCACACTGAAGACTAATTCAGGCTTGTGTATCCCTGACTCAGAACTGCATCTGGGCAGTTCCGGTAGCAAGATTTCCAAAATGGTGGCCCACTCTTGATGAAGTTCCAAGCAAACCAAAGAACAGTTTTTTCTTGCAGTGACTCGATCACTGAACGATTGTGTCTATTAGGGCTAAATGAAAAATAGTGTATTCACGTATGAAAAATGGTTAGGTTATAGGTACAGAAAAGCATACTTTTTTCCACCTGTGACATGCCTTGTTGGGAACTGGGGGGTTACAAGGGCTGGGGATTTGTTGACAAACACCTGTGCCTGCTTTGCCTGGATTTCGCTCGGGCAGCTGACTGAAGGACAAGCAGCACATTGGGTGGGCTATAACATACGACTGATGGTACGATACACCTTGACTGTAATGGTAGAGTCACTTGCTAATGTCTATTACTTAATTACACAACAGGTATTTTTCACTCAATACTGTGTGCTGAGAGCATTATATTGAGTTCTAGGATTACTCGAAATAAGAAATGCTTATGAAGGGAGGAATTAGTAAATCTTTTGCTCTCCCTTTGAAATCAGTTTGAGAGAATTCTGGGAAATACATAGCATTTTCTCTTCTTCCTGGATGTTTATAGAATTCTCATGTATTTAGGAATTCATTCCCCAGTCTCTGCCCATGATTCCTGAAATAACATTCCTCAGATTACTTACTTTTCACTTTGTCTTTGGGTAGTTTTATTAGATTTCCTGCCTCCTGCATATTCTTGTGTTCATTTTCTTGCTTGGGCTTTGGGACTTCTTTTTTAAAAGCATGTTTATTTTTTATCATAGGAGATTGAAAGCAGATTCTTTTTTTTTTTCTCCCAAGTTTGTTTGGGTTACATAAGTATTGCTTTGGCTTTCGATTTGGTATAATAAGACTTGCCTCATGGGAACCTTAATAAATTGTAAGGGAAAATATTTTATATTTAAAAGTCAACAGACCTGCAGGGTAGTTGTTAAGTACACAGAAGTTTGTTTGCTTGACCGCTTAAGAGTAAGTGGCCAGTCTAAGCCCACTGGAGTACTTTAGTATATATTTCTTGAAAACAAGGACATCTTCCTATAGACACAGTGAAATAATCAGAATCAAGATGTTAACATCAGCAAGTATCTAAACTAAGCGTTTGCTTCTAGTTCATATATCATTTCCGTGAGCTGTCTCAGTTTTGTACACAGGTACGTAATGTGTGGTTTATACTTCATTATTGAAATACTGATGTGGATTACGATAACTATCAGCAAAGCTTGTATTCATTCAGTTGATTGGTGTTTTCTTCAGGTATGGTTTGGAGAAGATCTGCCTCTAAGTCCACGGAGCCCTCTGACCCCCAGACATGGACCGGGATTGGCTGATGTCTGCCAGTATGACGAATGGATAGCTGTGAGGCATGAAGCCACTCTGCTGCCTATGCAAGAAGATCTGTCCATCTGGTTGTCTGGTTTGTTAGGTAAGGCTTGCCCAGATACCCCCAATTCTAGCCTCTTATTCAACACATTTTTCTGTTTGTCAAAGAAGTGATTGTTCTAGATGCCTGGGATACTCTAGTGAATGAAATTTTCAAAGTCCTTGTTCTTACCAAGCTTGCATTCTGTCTCATTGGGGAGATACTCTGATTCACCCAAAACTTTGGGTCTGGGATAGTAGAAAATTTGAAATTTAACTGAAAAGGTCAGTAACTTTCAATAATCATTTCATTGTTAACATTAAAATCTTTTTAAAGAAGTATGTAGGTTTGTGGCCGGGTGGGGTGGTGCATGCCTGTAATCCCAGCACTTGGGATGCTGAGGCAGGAGGATTTCTGTGAGTTTGAGGCCAGCCTGAGCTACATAGCTAGACCCTGTCTCAAAACAAAATGAAATGAAACAAAATGAAACAAGTACTTAGGTCTAAATTGGCTTTGTTTTGTTTTGTTTTTACTGTTCCCCGTATGCTAGTCCCCTTACTCTGGTGTGAGCTGTGAGATTCTGAGAGGCAGTCAGGTGACACTGAGCAGGAGATGTCAGGTTAGAGAACGTCTGGCATCGTGTTTGTTTTCCTCCACTAGAGAGCATGGTGAATGCCCCGAACTTTCTTCCCAGAAAATATCACTCTAAATACAGCATTCCATATAGCATTGGAAGGGTTTAGTGAGCATAACATCCTAAAGGTAATTTATGGACCTCTCAAGGTAAGTAAACACACATGAAACACTCACTGTAGTTGTCTGGTATCAGTTTGGTAACTTTTAAAGTTTACTACATAATAATGTTTTCAAAGAAGACATTTTAGAGGCAGAAAGTTGCCATTCTCTGCTGATTTGTATCGGTTTTTCAATTTTAAATTATGACACAATCCATCTTTTAAAAAAAGTTTTATTAGTCCATGCTAGCAGTGCATGATTGCACCCTCCTCGGTCCACACAGCAGGGCTTCGCTCTTCCCATGCCCCTCCCTCCTCCTCCTGCTGCACTTCCCCTCCCCCGCATCTCTTTTTTATTTAATTTTATTTATCCCCATTGTCTATCCTTTATTTTGCTCGCTATTTATGATTTGGGTTTCTCATTATGAGAAACCATATAATATTTAAGCTGTGCGTCTGATTTATTTCACTTAACATTACGTTCTCCAGATGCATCCATTTCCCTACAGGTGACTCCAGTTTCTCCTTCTTTAAGGCATAGCAGTACTCCATGGTGTGTAAATAACACAATTTCTTTATCTGTTCATCTGTAGATGGATGCATAGGCCGCTTCTAAGACTGAGCTATTATGAACTGTGCTTCTGTAAACGTATCACTGTAGCATGTATCACAGTAATGTTTTAAAAACTCTTTGGGGAAGATACCTAGGAGGGGAATAGCTGGGTCAAATGGAATCTTTTGTTTTTTTTTTTTGAAAAATCTCCGTCCTGATTTCCATAGTGCTTGTAGTAGTTTACATTCCCACCAGTGAAGAAGGATTCCTTTATCACCAGAGACTCGCCAGCACGTTGTTATCTGACCCTCTGATGGGAGCCGTTCTTTCTGGAGTAAGAGGGAATCTCAGTGTTGTTTTAGTTTGCATTTTTCTAATGGCCAGAGATGTTGAAACATTTTCTCATGGAGTATTTATTGGTCACTTGTATTTCTTCTTTTGAGAAGTGTTTGTTCATTTCAGATGACCATTTTTGGGTGGGTCTTTCATTCTGGGGAGAAGTCTAACTTTTTCGAGTTCCTTATGTAGTCTAGATATTAGTCCTCTGTCCAGGAATAGCGTGTCTCTTTACTCTGTTGGTTGTTTCCTTCGTTAGGCAGAAGTTTTAAAATTTGACAAGGTCCCGCTTGTTGATTCTCAGTGTTAGCTCTTCTGCCGAAAAAGTCCTTCCTCAGTCTATGTCTCCAGAGTTTTACCCCTTTTATCTTCCAGCAGGTTAAATGTTTCTGTTTGATGTTTAGATCTTTGATCCATTTGATGCTAGTTTAGTAGATGGCAGGAGATATGAGCTAGATGTAGTCTCCTTTCTGCACTTGGAAGGCCAGTTTTCCAGCACCATTTGTTAAGAGGCTGTCTTTCCTCCAGTGTACATTTTTGGCCCCATTTTCAAAGGTGAGATAGGCAAAGTGCTTGGAGTTGTTTCTGCTTCTTTTATTCTGTTCCATTCATCCACATCTTTTTTTTTTAATGCCAGAACGGTGCTATTTTTACCACTGGGGCTTTATAATATAACTTGAAGTTCAGAACTGTAATTCTTCCTGCTTTTGTTGCTCAGGATTGCTTTGGCTATTTTAGGTGCAGTCTGTTTTTTTTTTTTTTTTTTTTTTTGAGACAGGGTCTCGCTATGCAGGTCAGGCTGGCCTTGGGCTCACTTTGTAGCCCAGGCTGGTCTTGAACTCTCAATGATCCTCCTGCCTCAGCCTCCCAAGTGCAGTGCTGGGATTACAGGCATGCGCCACCACACCTGGCTAGGTGTACTCTGGATCCATATAAATTTCATTTTATTTTCATTTCTGTATTTTTTCAGTACCAGCAATTGAACTCAGGACCTTGAGCTTGCTGGGCAGGTGCTGTACTGCTGAGCTATATCTCTGGCCCTGGATCCATGTGAATTTTAGAATTATTTTCTCTAGTTCTGTAAAGAATGCTATTGGTATTTTGATTGAGATTATGTTAAATCTGTGTATCAGTTTTGGAAATATGGCCATTTCGACTATATTGGTTCTGCCTATCCAGGAACAGTATTTGGATTGTTTCCAAGTTCTAGCTATTACAAATGGTGCTGCTGTAAACATGGGTGCACATATATTGCAGTGGTATGATGTTTTTAATTCTTCTGGGAAGATACCCAGTAGGGGAATAGCTGGGTCAAATGCAACATATTCATGGGCTCTAGTTCTTTGCTGAACTGGTCATTCATGTTTTGTATTATTTTGTCTAGCTCAGCTAGCTTTTTGTTGGTGTCTTTGGTAAGTTCCTTGATTATTTCATTTATTACTGCCATTATCTGTCCAGTTATATTTTCTGTGAGTGTGCTGAACACCTCATTGATGTGTTTTTCAATCCCTCTGCCATCTTTTTTTTTGAGACAGGGTCTCCCTCTGTAGTTCAGGCTGGCCTTGAACTCACTGTGTAGCCCAGGTTGACTTCCAACTCTCAGCAGTCTTTGCCTCAGCATCCCAAGTGCTGGGACTACAGGCGTGCATCACTGCGCCTGGCACCTCTGTTATCCTTTCAAACAGTTTGGCTGTGTGGCTTCTGCTTTCATCCCATTTAAAGCACCATGGATTAGCTTTGGGTAGTTGGTAGATTTGGGAAGCACTTTGTTACCATCTTTTCTCATGTTTCTATTGTTGTTTGCTTGTTTATTTTGTTTTGTGCTTATCTTGTAGCCACTTGTAGCAGGCAGACTTTGTTGCTAGTATGGAGATCTCTTTTAGTCTGTTTTTCAGTGATGCACTCAGGGCATGGCTAAGATAGTCCTTTGTCTCACAAGATCCAATCAGCTCCATTATGGGGGCGGGTGGCAGATGCATTGTAATTGAGCCAGCACCCAGTTCTCTGGGAATGGACCACAGGTATGTCACAAAAATAATCCTGCTATTGGGATACTGAGAAAACCTATTAATAGCAACATGTATGTGACCCTGGCATTATCAAGTAAATCAGCAGCGGTAATGTTGCCCAAGACTAACTGGATACTAACATACTGTAAGAACCAATAACATTATCCTTACCCTTAGAAATTGTCTTGGTTACTTTCCTTTCATTGCTGGGACAAAATACCTGACACCCAAAATTAAGGAAGGAAAGGTTTATTTCGCTTACATTTTGTGGAGGTTTCAGTCCATACTTGGCAGGTTACAAGGCAGAGTGGCACATGGCAGAGGGCTACCGCTCATGGCCGCAGAACACAGCAGAGCAACAAGCACAAAAGGGAGGAATGGCGGCAAGCAGCCTCTTCCTGTCCCTTACATATGCAAACTATCCACCCCAGGGTGGGGGTAGCTCTCACACCCATAATCAGTCAAACTCTAAAGGCCTGCCCCATGACTGCATGAGGCTTTGGGGGGACACCCAGACACAAACCATAACAGAGATCTACTGTCATAACATAAACTCTTAAACCAAATATTGACATACAGCAAACATTTGTCTATGTCAAAAATGACATAACTATACCTCCACTAATGATAGCAAAGAATTCATCAATAGTAACATAGCGTTAACTATCTAAAGAGTAACAAAGCTTAATGGTTATACTAGTAAAGAGATAAGGTTTTAGGAATGGAAGAATGCAAAAAAAAATTTGAAAAAATTAAACAGTGGGAGATGAGATAGAAGAAAGACAAATGATCCTATTACAAAGTCAAAGATATTTATAGAACTGGATAAAGGTAACAGGAAAAAAAGAGAAATAGAAGATAAAAGAAAAGGGAAATAATGTGGAGAATAAAAAATAGAAAAAATAAAAAGGAAAAAGAACAAAAAAAGAAAATGAGTCCTGCATGAAGAGGGGAAAATTTCCATTACTCCGTTAATTAATTAATTAGTGCAGCGGGATCTGGGATGACCAGTTGTTCATGGGGAACAAAGGGCAGCGAGGCAGCCAGAACTTAGTGTTTAACCCGCATAGTAGAAAGAGGGCTTTCCTCCTAGGGCCCGCAGTTTTGGAGTCCAGTAAGTCCGGTCTTCTCTGCCTGGCCTTCCGGCCTGAGGTCCTTTGTTTGCCCAGGCTGTCGCAGTGTCCACACTGGGACGCATCCTCGCTCTTGCCTCTGGGGCGGAGGCAGGCGGCAGACTCAGGTCTGCACTGCTGTGGGCAGCAGGGCCAGTGCTCGGGCCTCCACGGGCGGACGCTTGGGACCCGGCCTGGCTGGTCCCTGCGGTGTGGGCCGTGACCTGCAGCTGCTCTGGGGCCTGCGTCCAGCCTGTCCCCGCTGCCTGCCGAGGCTGTCTCTCACTCAGTCACAGCCACAGCCCTGAAGTGAAGCTGTTTTCCAGTTGTTCTGGGTCCCGGATTTCAGTGATCAGCCCCTCTGAGACAGCGCCTGCCGGAGCGCTCTGGTGGGTTCTGAGTCTGGGTCCGTGTCCCCGTCCCGTCCCTGTCCCCATCCCTGCCGGCTGCGCGGAGAGGAAGGTGCGGGCCGAGGCGGGCTCCGGCTCCGCTCCCTGCTCTCTCCAGCGTCTCCGTAGCTTCTCCTTTCCCCACCGGTGCCCTCCCGATTCCCGGAGATCCGATTCCCGGAGATCCGTTTCCCTTTTTGCTTCCACAAGTCGTTTTCCAGGGTCTGAACTATGATCTCCCAGGGGCTGGATTTTCTACCGGTCACCACTTCTGTGTTTTCTTTCTCTGAAGATCCGTCTTATTTATAAAGACTCTTTCTTGCGTGTGTAAGAATTATTAATACATAGTGAATTTATTTCATTTTCAGTGAAATAAAACAAATGTGAATCTCTTTTTCTGTATTTCTCCTAGTTTTCTTTCACTTAACTTGATATTATTCTTGTGGTACTGGGAATCGAACTCATGACCTTGCGCTTGCCAGGCAGGCGCTTATGCCACTGAGCTATATCCCCAGCCCGATGTTACTCATTTTAACAACACTATCCTCAAAGGGGATATTTGGAGTCTCATCTGATATTTGTCTACCTTTTCAGCTATAGTCTGATTCTCGTCATTCAAATTTAACTGTTTTATCTGAATTTACTGTTCTAGATTTTAACTTTGAAATAATGTTTCAGGTTTTGAGATAAAAGCAGAAAGATTACTGGATGAACTTGATAATGGAGTACTGTTATGTCAGCTGATCGATGTTCTTCAAAACATGGTGAAAGCATGCAGTTCTGAAGAAGCAGGGGTAAGGACTTGACAGCAGCGATGTTACATTCTGTTCAAAGTAATCTGTTCACGTGCATTTCTTACCGTTTCAGCAAGCTCTAAACTTCCCTCCCACAACTGGCTACGACACCTTGAACTGTTGATCTAATCTTCTGAGCATCTGAAATACTGTTATTCATAAAATGGAAATGCTAACATTTAACTTGTAGAATGTATTTGTGTTTACTGATATTAGATGAGGTACTGGGCGTGGTGGCACACGCCTGAAACCCCAGCACTCGGGAGAAGCTGAGGCAGGAGGATCGTTGTGAGTTCGAGACCAGCCCGGGCTACAAAGTGAGCTCAAGGCCAGTCTGAACTGCATGGAGAGACCTTGTCTCAGAAAGGCAAAATAAAAGAAAGAAATTAGGTGAGGTGATGTATAGATGGTACTCAGTACAGAGCTTGACAAATTCGATATGCAGTAGCTTCCTCTTCTTACAAGCAGTCGTAGTACTTTCCTTACAGGCCTGGCAAGGGCTGCGAGCTTGCGACAGTCCCTGACACTCAGGTATCAGCTATTATTATTTTCCATATATTGTCGTGGTGGCAAATCTATCCATGTTAACTAAATTAATAATTTTTAAAGCTAATTTCCCTCCACTGACCCTTAAGCCATGATTTAAAGTAGATCAAAGTTTCTTTCTTTTTATCAAATGTGGATGTTTTCAAGAGTTTGGGATCTTGCTGAGTGTGGTGGTGCATACTTATAATCCTAGCTACTTAGGAGGCTGAGGCAGGAGTATTGCAAGTTCAAGGCTAACCTCGGCAACTTGGAGAGACATTGATCAAAAAATAAAATTAACAAATAAATAAAAACTGCTGGGGATATAGCTCAGTAGTAGAGTGTTTGTCTAGCTTGTGAGAGTTATTAGTTTTAATCCTAGTACCATAAAGAAAAAAAAGTGTCTGGAGCCTGGCCCCTGACAGACTATTACTGGAATCATTCTAGATGTCTATAAGATACATCTACTCTCACTGTCCTGTGTACGTACATACATATATACACATATACACACATGTATAAACATACATTTATATGTACATACATATATATTTGTATATATAAAAACATTAAAAATAAAATAGATTCCTTGATACATAATTCTCTACTCTTGAAAATTTAAGGAAATCATAAATTTGCACATATGATAGTACAAAAAGTTAGGGACAACCTAATATTCATTAATAAAGAAGTTTCAAAAAATTAGTTATTGTACCTAATCATGTATAGGTACAAATTCTCTATGATGAATGTGATCGTTCTGTAAATCTAAAATATACCAATAAAATCTGATTGAAAAAAAATTATGGTACCTAGATACACTGGGATATCATACAGTTATAGAAGTGATGATTTAAGTCTATTTTTAACCCTAAAAGATGCCTACAACCTATCATTAAGTATGCTTGTGCACAGACACAGAAAATCAAATTGCAGCAGAGCGTGTTTATGGGATGCTGTAGGCATGTGCGTAGCTCTGCAGAGAGATATGTTATGTAGGTGAGAAGATTTCAGTTCATACTTCTCATGTTTGTATTTTGCTACATTGTTTAATTTTGGGGTAATGACAATGTTTTCTGTATTTAATTCAGAAACCTCATAGGCTGTTTTAATTGTAGAAAATAATAGCAACAGGAATATGTACAAGGAGCTGTAGTAGTGGGGGTCTCCAGGGAGAGAGGAACTAAGGGGTAGAAGTGGAAAAAGCCTTATTGTACCTGCTGCATTAAAAAGAATCATATTCATGGGTGGAATTTTCAGTCAAAAATTTTAAACAATTACTGCTCCCATCTGAGACTCAGCAGGATTAGCTAAATACTCCTGCGCCAGATAGTTTAAAAAAAGGAATCTATGGAACTTAGGCCGTCAGTTTTCAAAGAATTAAGAATGGCTAACTACTTCCTTATTTGATAATTTCCTCAAGAAATCAGAACTGTCTGTATGAATCTGTATATAAGGAAGTAAGCAAACTGGAGTATGTCTGTTACCCATGAATGTAGCAATAATTTTGTTTGTCTTGAACTATGTGAGCAGAGATACACCCTTGTGATGTGCTCTGGAATGATCAAGCTATCATTTTTATCTTATGAAGATTCCTGTGTGATTTTAAAAAGCAGGAGCTTCTGGAGCCGTGATCCTGTTGCTAATTTTGACAAATTGCTTTCCTGGGAATCATTTTCTGCAATATACTTAAAGTAAAATAAAAGTCATTTTGGAAGATATCTGTTTCCCCCTAAAGTTGCATACTTCTTAGTTATATTCAGTGTGTTTAGGATTTACTTTGTAATACTGCAATGAATATCTAATAAAAGCATCCTTGAGGTGTGTTAAGCGGTTATCTTTTCTTTTCCAGAATTTTCCACTGAGGAAAGTGCCTTGTAAGAAAGATGCCACATCAGGTTCGTTCTTTGCCAGAGACAACACTGCAAACTTCCTTCACTGGTGCAGAGACATTGGGGTAGACGCGACGTACCTCTTTGAATCGGAAGGTTTAGGTAAGTTGTTGCTGTTGTTGCTCTTGTTGCTTTTTGTGTTTATTAGGATGTTATTGGTATCCTTTACTTCTAATATTTCTCTTCAAATAAATGATTCAAAATTTCATATCTCAGTTTCTCAGAAAAATGTGTACTTTAATTATATGGGAAACAATTGAAGATCAGATACTAAATCAGATATATTAAGCTTTTCATTTATGGTGATATCCAGAATGCCCTAAAAATATTTCATTTGCTAAATGGGTTGGCTAGAGGAAGGTTCTGGACTAGTGCTTTACTAATTAATGTTTTCATCTGGATTTACTCTACCAAGTCCAAATTACTAGTAAGATCTCTTTAATCAATAATTATAGAAATAACAAGGCCAAATGATGTGTATTTACGGTGTTTAGATTTACCTTGTAAACAATAGCTACTAACTTGATTATCTAAATGGATTTATATTTTTGACAATTCATTTTGAAAAGTTACACTCTCCTGAAGAATTATTGACTTATTTTTTTACTTCCTTGAAGTCAACAGAGTCATCTGTCTTGTGACTAAAGTGATAGCTTTCTGATGGCTTTAGCATATACGTATATATTTCAAAACATGTATGTGTATATGCACATATATGTGTGTGCATAAACACACAGATGCACGGAATTTATCATGCTGTGATCCCAAGGGATTGTGGGAATCCACCCTGGGAGAGAGGAGTGTACTGCTGCTGTTGTTTACACTTGCTGATTTGCAGTAATAATAACAAGCAAACAGACTTTCAGTTGGTTTTATTATAGGTATTAAATTCTCTGCTGAGGGGTTGCTTTTCTATGCCTCGGTTTGCATGGCTTTGAACCCAGGTCTGCGGATCATTACTGACAGGGGCATGCCCAGCTTCTAGGGATCAAGGGGAAGACAAACACTTTGAATGTTCTAGGTCCTAGTTACTCTTTTTGAAAGGATGTAAGATTGCCATTGATTTCTATTATCAGTAAATGACATCTTCCAACTGTCTTGAAGGTCCGTGCAGGACTAAATAAAGCACTGTCAATATCTGTAATTCATTTCTAGGTATTGAGCTGATGTGCTAATGTTTGTTCCCTTAAAGGTTTAGGAGATGAGCCTCTTATTTATTTGTTTACCTTTTGCTAGAAGCTTTGGGCAATTTTAAGAAGCTAATATACTCTTTTAAGGTACTTCTTTTAAGTGTTTAGAAAAACAAGTTTTAAAAATTTCAGGATACATTCATTTATTAGTATGAACTAAACTCACATATAGACCTTTTTATTGCTTTAAAAGATAATACTTTGTACTTGGGTATAAGAAATGCTATTCATAAAGAACAGCCGCCATTTCTATTGGAGGAACCGTTGTACGTGCAGTTCATCACACTCTGCACATTGTTGGATTCGGATTCAGAAATTTCCTGCTGCTCCTGACTAGCAGCCAGACATAAAGGTGGATGTTTCATGACTATCTTGATAGGTACAGTTAGAGTGAATTCTATGGCCAGGCCTATTTTCTTTTTTTCTTAACAGAGTCTCTTTATGTGTATGATTTCTTTTAGAATTAATTTTATTTTTAAAAATTGTTTTACAATATACATAACAAAATTAACCATCTTAATCATTTTAAGTGTATTAAGTGTCATAGCATTTTTATGCTTCACATATGGTAAAATTAATAATTTAAAAACTGACAGTTGAGGTTATTTAGTATATTCACTGTTTGTAGGATTGTCACTAATCCAATTCCAGAATGTTTCTATCATCCCGAAAGAGAGCCACACCTGCGGCCAGTTAGTCCCAAATACTCTCTTCCACATGCAGCCACTAGTGTGCTTTCTATGAGTTTGCATATTTTAGATATTTCACAAGTAGAATGGTTCAGTGTGTGATCTTTTGTGTCTGGATCCTTTCACTTAGCATACCATCACACACGTTTGTGTACATAACAGTATTTCATTTTTTTATGACTGAATAATATTCTACTGTCCAGACAATACTACATTTAAAAAATATATCCATTTATCAGCTGATGGACATTTGGATTGGTTTTACTTTTTCAGCTATTATGTGTTAATGCTGCTGTAAACGTTTGTGTGCAGGCTTTTCAGTGAACATATGTTTTTAATTCTCTCACGTACATACCTACGAGTGGAATGGCTGGGTCGTGTGGTAAGCTGATGTTTATCTTTTTTAGGAGGCATCAAAGTATTTTCACAGTGTCTGAACCACTTCTTTTCATGTGCACAAGTGTGCCAGCTTCTGCACGTCCTTGCCACACTTGTTCCCGTCGTCAGTCCTTTCCCGTGCCTGTCTTCTTTGTAACTGTCAGGTGTGGTATGAGCGGTGTCTCACTGTGGTATTTATTGGTCTGCACTTCCTTACTGACATTCAATGGCTTTTCATTCGCTTAGTGACCATTAAAGTATCTTCTTTGAAAACGTCTATTTGAAACCTTTGCTCGTTTTTTCTCTTTTAGTTGGGTCATTTATCTTTTTGTTGGCATGCAAGAGTTCTTTATAGATTCCAGACACTTGGCCCTTATTAGATATGATTTGCAAATATTTTTTTCTTGTCTTTGTGTGTGTTACCTTTGTGTGTGTATGTGTGTTACCTTTTTGATACTACTTTAGTATACAAAGTTTAAAATTTTAAAGACTGATTCATCTATATATATTTCTTTTGTTTGCTTGTACTTCTGGTCTCATCTCTAAAAGCCACTGTCTAACTAAAGTCCTAGAGATTTTTGGCTATGTTTCCTTAATGGTTTGATCAATCTTGCATTCTTACGTCTGGTAATCTGAGCAACTTCGCTGAAGATCACAATATGTAATACAACAACCACTGTTAATTCCTATCATTTTGTTCTGAAGCCCTGTGTCATTTTTATTGTTTTTGCTTTGTTTTGTTTTTGTTTATGTTGTTGGTATTTTGCTATTGTTCTTTTTTAAATTACTCTCTTTAAAATAAAAAAAGTTTCTATAGTTTTAGCTCTGAACATTTAGATCTTGGACTTACTTTTAGTTAATTTTTGATGTGGCGTGAAGTAAAGGTTCAAATTCATGCTTTGCGTGTAGGCATCCAGTTGTCCCAATGCCATGTGTTGAACAGACTGCTCATTCTTTTCCCACTGAAAGGTCTTGGCATCTTTGTTGAAAGTAACTGAATATAAAAATCTAGATTTATTTCCAAATGCTCAATTGCACCCAGTTGTTCCATACATATGCCTGGTCTCATGTCTGATTTTTGTGGCTCATAATAAGATTTGAAATTAGAAAGTGTGAGTCTTCCAACTTTGTTTCTTTTTCAATATTGATTCTACTATGTTGTGCCCATTGCAATTCTATGTTAATGACTGCTGGAATTTGATAGGGAGTGCATTGAATGTCTAGGTCAACATGGGGAATGTTTTTATCTTACTGATATTTTCTTCTAATCCATGAACAGTGGTTGTTTTGCTCTTCATATCATCTTTAATTTCTTTCAGTAATATTTTGTTAGTTTTGTCTTAAAAGTATTGTATTTTTTGTTTAAATTTATTTTTAAGTATTTTATTCTTTTTGAAGCTGTTTCAAGTGGGATTTTTCTTAATTTTATTTTTAGATTTTTCATTTCTAGTATAGACAACTAAGTTTTATGTATGAAGGTACCCTGCAACTTTGCTGAACTTGTTTATTAGCCATAATAGTCTCTTAGATTCTTTAAGATTTTCTATACATAGGATGATGTCATCTGTGAATAGAAGTAGTTTTCCTTCTTCCTTTCCAGTGTGGATGCTTTTTATTTTCCTGGTCTAAATACTGGAGCTAGAACCGCCAGTACAATGCTAAAAAGAAGTGGGGAGAATGGACATCCTGTCTTTTCCCTCATCTTGGGGGAAAGATTTTCAGGATTTTACCTTTAAGAATGATAATAGGTATGGATTTTTCATAGACCCCTTTTATGTGATTGAGAAATTTTCTTCTATTTGTGGTTTATGGAGTTTTCTTTTTTTGATTCAGGAAACAACACTAGATTTTGTCATTCTCTTGTGAGTTTTTTTCTCCTTTATTCTATTAATGGTGTATTACATTGGTTGATTTCATATGTTGAAATCACTTTGCATTCCTGGCATAAATCCCATTTCATAATGGTGCTTAAACCTTTTTACATGTTGCTGGATTTTGTTTGTCCATATGTTGTTGAGGGTTTTTGTGTCTTTTTTCAAAAGGAATGTTGTTTCTTAGTTTTTTATGATGTCTTTGTGGAACTTTTGACTTTGGTATCAGGGTAATGCTGGCCTCATCAAATCAGTTAGAAAGTGTTCTCTTCTGTTTTCATAAAGTTGGGGAGACAAATTAGCACATAGTCAAAGATAGTTTAGAATAAAATTGAGGTGGCAGCTGGGCATGGTGGCACATGCCTGTATTCCCAGCTCTTGGGAGGCTGAGGCACGAAGATCACCATGAGTTCAAGGCTAGCCTGGGCTGTGCAGTGAATACAAAGCCAGCCTAAACTACATAATGAGACCCTGTCTCAAAAAAAAAAATTGAGGTGATATATTTGTTCTAATAGTATCTCATTGAGAAATCTGAAACATAAATAATTTAGGGTTACTACACTATTAGTTTTTTAATCTAACATTATAAAAAGTAAGGGTCTATAACAGCTACTCATCTTCTTGTTAACTAGTTCTTTTTAAAGTAGTTTATAGAAGATAACAATATACAAAGGAAGCGTAAAAGTCTTTTACAAGTCTTCTCCAAACAAGTAAGCCTGATGTGTTCATTATTTTCTTTTACTCTCCTACATGCCAAAAACACATTTCCCTGTTTAATTTTGCTCCTTAAAACATGAGATCTTATTTTCCACAGTTTTACACAAGGATCCAAGGCAAGTGTACCTTTGTCTTCTTGAAATTGGCCGAATTGTGTCAAGGTATGTATTCTGCAACATTTCAGAATGTCAAAGTCATAGACATTTTTAAGCTACTTTATTTTATCTTATTTATTTATTCTTTTGGTACTGGAAATCGAACTTAGGACTTTGCGCTTACCAGGCAGGTACTTGTGCCACTGAGCTATATCCCCGGCCCTAAGCTACTTAATTTTAGGTTAGAATACTACCTTCTAAAAAACAATGAAATTAACTTAAATGAAGTAACTTAATTTCTTATATTGGCTTTCTTTTTTGTCTGTGTTTTCCTTGTTCTATTAGCGTGAGCATGTCAGTATTGGTTTTCTCCATATACCTTTCTTTCATTTAATATTAAATTATAAATTGGACACTTAAAAACTTTAAGAATAGAGTGAAAGGGAAAAATCTTAAAGCAGCTCGGGACAAGCAAGGCTTGTGAACGCAGAAAGTGTGATTAGAAAGCGGAAGCTTTGCGTCTCTCACACTTGCTTCAGCTGCGTCTACTCCTCTGCTGACTTTGCCTTTCAGGACTCCACAAAGGCACAGTACCAGGAGCACCCGGTAACCCAAGCCCGTGCTGCGCTGTGCAGGTTGGGATCTGGGTTTTTGCCTCTCTGGGAGGCCTTAGAAATTGTTTCCAGATGTCCCAGTGAAATTAGTAGAACAGATCATAGAGACTTTGCTCTAAAAATAAGATTTCATCTGTCTTGGTACCCTGAATGATCATATTTCCTGATTTGTTTTCAGATACGGAGTTGAGCCACCAGTATTAGTAAAACTTGAGAAAGAAATTGAGTTAGAAGAGACTTTGCTTAACACCTCTGGGCCTGAGGAGTCCCTCAGCATTCCAAAGTCGTGCTGTCGGCATGAAGAGCTGCACGAGGCTGTAAGTACCTGCCACGCTGTCTTTTGGCTCCTCATACCTGAGCTCTCCTAGACTTACGCGCTTCTACATTGCTACGCATGGTGCTATGTTTAAAAGAAAGTGTCTCTTACTCAGACTGTGAGCACTTAGGGTAATGGATGCTTGTGTGTGAGGGGCGATGGTTGTGGACTTGAGCAGTGGGGGGCAGATGGGCTGGAGCCTTCATGAGGGATATTATGGGCCACAAGACTCCCCTGCTTGCTTTCTTTTATCCTCCCAAGAATAAACCATTACTAGTAAACCTTTAGAAAGTATTGCTTTGTTTTGTTGAATGTAATAAATATCTATAATAAAACTTCAGATAACCTCGCAAGACAAATTAAGAATATATCAGCCTGAACAACCCTGACCCAAATATATTTACCTACATTATTTTATTAATACATTTGATGTCTGTAAATATAATAGTGGAAGCAGAAATAATCAGTAGGTAGAAAAATAAAATTTTATATAACCTTAATGATTTTTTTTTTTTGTCTTTTTGAAACAGCGTTTCACTATGCTGTTCAGGCTGGCCTTGAACTCATTTTGTAGCCTAGCCTGGCCTCAAACTCACAGTAGTCTTCCTGCCTCAGCCTCCTGAGTTCTGGGATTACAGACATGTGCCACCATTCCCAGCTAAAATAACAATTAAATAAAAGGAAATGTCTGGAAAATGTTTTTATTAAATGGAAAATACAATGTATTATTTCCCCCTTCTAAACAGATGATATAGAATTTGATGATAAAAACATTTCTTGGTAGGCAAATGGACAAGGACTGTGTTCACGCAAGAGGAAAGTACAATGTTAAAACCTACGGATGGTCACAGAAAGTATGAAAAACCATTTGCCTCATCGGCCACTTGAATCGGCCGTTAAATTTTGGTGAAACAGTACTTAGGGATGGTGAATGAGTTAAACTTTTGAAAGCAAACTAAAAAAGAGATACCAAGAGCCACTGAAATATTTCTTTTTCATATTTTTGTAATTGAAAATGTGAAAAAGTAACATAAATGGAAGTGTTTATTGCCCTATTGTTTTTATGGGTGAAAAATCATATGCAATATGAAAAGACCCCGATAGGGCCGTGGGTAGTAAAGTAGGATTCAGTGTCTTAGCAGAATAATCGCTTTCTGTGATCATTATGGCAGCTCTGTAGCAGTAAGAAAAATGCTTATTTTGTGAAAATATGCATATATAGGTTAAATGTACACAAACAGGGAGGATGAAAATGGAAATGACAGGTAGTAACGTAATTCCATGTACATGATTTTAATTTCTTTAGCTATTCCTTCTAGTTACATCGTTAACATGCAATGAATAAAAGCGGAAACAAACGTTCCTTATCCATAGCTCTTATTTCTTTCAGGCTCATTGCCTTGTTTACGTTACAGGCTAGTGTTGGTTGTACTGCTCTGTATAAGTGGTTATTTGGGTATTTTAAATAAGGAAAAGAGTGACTTCTCAGATTTGCATTCTTGTTATGAAAACTAAAAATGAATATATTCCTTTAGACAGGTATCTGCTGTATAGTTACATTCAGTGTCCACCTATAAATACATGATCAACAGATAGCTTGGCGTCATGTTTAATATGTAGAACAACTGTTACCTAATTCATCTTAAGGTTCTGTTAAGAAGTATACAACTGGGGGCTGGGGATTTAGCTCAGCGGCAAAGCGCCTGCCTGGCAAGCGCAAGGTCATGAGTTCGGTTCCCGGTACCGGAGAAACCCCCCCCCCCCAAAAAAAAACCCAACAAGAAGTATACAACTGAAATTCTGTATACTGAAGAAATTTTTACAGACAGAAGGTAGTGACTAAAAGGAATGTCTATTTTCAAATTACTTATTTAGCTTATATATAAACATCATTTAACAGTTGTAGACTCTACATGATTTTACTTTTTAAACCATTTGAAGTGTATAGTATGTGTATGAGTATACATGTGTGTGCACATATATGTAGGCTATGAACAAGAAGAGCTTTACTATACAAAGTCAGTTCTATTTGTGAGTACATTATCTTGTTAAATGAACAATATAGGGAAATAGATTATAGACCCTTCTCGTCAGACATCCACAATTGTCTATTCATTTTGGGTAGATTATTAAGGCCATCAAATAAATGCTAAATTGGGCATTTTTGAAGAGACTCTTTTTTCCACATGTCTAAGTTTAATTAAATAATTTTGTTTCGACTTAGTCTGTGTGACAGTAGTTGAGAAAAATATTCATGATCTTGCTTTTTCAAAAATACAATTTTAGGGAAAAGTCAAATAGTTTCTATAATGGCTGATATGTGAATTTTTCCAAATAACAATAGTTCAAAAAATATGCTCATTTTATCCCTTTATTATGATTTCTATGTTAAAAATATAGTCAAATTCCTTTTTTATTTACTATAGTCCTACCACGTGTTTATTTTTTAACTTATTCCTGAGGTAGAAAAGTAGGGTTTCTCCTGACTCCCTTCTCTTCGGGAGGCTCTTGGGACAGAGCCAACACTTGGGCAAACACTTTTTCAAGTTCAAATCTTAAAGAATTTTACCTCGTCATGGATGAATGTATATGAATGCGTCGCTGCCGGTGTTAACAATAACTTGGACCAAATCTAGATGTCCCGACCCCCACAGTATCAGTAAAGGAATTTCCCAGTCTTGATCTGACTGGCCAGACTTTGACCTGACACAACTGTTATTAACTCAGGGCTTCAGCGAAGTCAAGCAGTGATCTCGTGTGTTCCCTAAACTCAGCTGATACATTTCGAGTTGACTCCCCTGTCAGTGGGCGTGCGTGCACCGTAGGCCCAACTGCGCTTGGGTGGAGAGCCAGGGGCCTGACTTCCTCACTGCTGGGTTGGTGCTAGGTTAGCAGTGTTTTATCTCTGTATTCCTTAACAAGTGAAGAAGAAGAAATATAAAACAGCTGAATTGCCTTTGAATTTTCATCTTTGAGATTTATTTTCCTCACTATCAAATAACTTCACATTTTAACTTTAAACAAAGTATTTTTTGTAACAAGCACCAAATTTTGCTGTTTATTTTAAATCTTAGGTTAAGCACATTGCCGAAGACCCTCCTTGCAGTTGTTCTCACCGATTTTCTATTGAGTACTTATCTGAAGGACGCTACCGGCTCGGGGATAAAATACTCTTTATAAGGGTGAGTCCACTCTTCCCAGCCGGAGCGCACACAGCTCTTGTCTGTGACCAAGCTGTCGGGACTGGTGTTATTGCTTTAAGTGCTTCTTTTTGCCCCCTTTTGCTAAAAAATGGGAACAGAAGGTGCTATTACAGGAAAATTTCACTGTACAGCAGAAATACGGAGTGCGTGGTTCCGTGAGTACATTGTGAGCTTAGGTGAATCTCTGTAACGGTGAATAAATAGCTTGAAAACAGCTGAGACTGTTCCCACACTGAATGTCATTGGAGAAAGAGTCTGTGTACGCTCAGGGAACTTCGTTGTTAGAATTGTCTAAAAGGGAGTAATTTTTCATCATCACCGTCAGAAGAAAAGCAAAACAGAACGCCTAGTAAGTATAAATAGCCATCTTAAGAAAACAAAAGGGGAACACTACCGCTTATAACGATACACGCTTCAGCCTTGAGCGTAAGGTCTTTCTCCTGCGGTCTCAGCGTCGGACTGGGCTCCAGGAAACTGCATATATGCGCACTGCCCGCCTCTGTCCACTCGGCCCATTTGCTCCTGAGGAGGTTGAAGTTTCACCCGCTCAGCATTATTTCTCCTTGGGATACCTGTGCTAAGTTTTCTTCACTCATCCACATTTTCTTCTAGTTCCTGTTTCATCGTTAGGTTGCCATGCCCCATCCAGCTCACGTGAAACACCGCACTGAGTTCTCTCCTTCCCCTAACTCCCTCTTTGAGGCAGTGTGACGTAGGGATGGTGCCGAGAGCGAGACTGGGAGTCCCCTTCGCGACCGGGCTGTGGCCCAGCCGAGGGGACGCCCGAGGTCACGGCCCGAGGTCAGCCGGACTCCATGACAGCGCCACTGTGGCTGGGAGCAGCCGTTGTATTGAAGGCCAGGTCCAGAGTCCTAAAGCTCTGAGCCGTAGCTTTCTTGTCTGCAGGGAAGGACTATAATAAATTCTACCAAAGGGTTTTAAAGCTTAAATTGTTACAATATATGAGAAAATAAGTTGCAAAATATAACTTAGTTTAGTTATTTTTCTTTTCTTTTCTTTTCTTTTTTTTTGGTTTTTCTCCAGTACCAGGAACCGAACTCACGACCTTGCGCTTACCAGGCAGGCACTTTGCCGCTGAGCTAAATCCCCAGCCCTATTTTTATTTTCTTCCTCGATTACTTTTACCTTTGTTAGGAGGCGTTTTCCCCATTTCTTCTCCTCTGCCTCCCCTTCCTTCTCTTTTCCTTCCTGTAATGGTCCCACTTCCCTGAACAATGTAGCACTTGCAATTTTGTGTATTACTAGCTTGCATTTTTGGGGTGTAAAGATTTTCATTACAAATTGGAGGACAGCTGTGGCTCATCACATAACGGAATACTTAGTACGTATATGAATACAAGAAAGAGACTGTTATTTTGTCACAAAGGTGTTGGCAAATACCCGAGTTTCACCGGTCAGACATCACAGAGTGAGACTGCCGTGACCGTAACTGTCCATCTCCTTGTTTACTGATTTGTTCTTCCTTTCTCTGGCGGACAGATGCTGCATGGAAAGCATGTGATGGTCCGCGTTGGTGGAGGCTGGGACACTCTTCAGGGATTTTTGCTTAAATACGATCCCTGTCGAATACTACAGTTTGCTACACTGGAACAAAAAATTCTAGCATTTCAGAAAGGAGTTTCTAATGAAAGCGTCCCCGACTCCCCCGCCAGAACACCTCAGCCTCCTGAAATGAACCCCCTGTCAGCCGTGGACAAGTTTCAGAGACAGAGTGTGAAGCCTGGGGCTCCGGCTGGTGTCCCGAGGGGGAAGGAAAAGCAGGTGCGCGCGCCAGGTGCCTGGCTGCCGGCAGCTGCCCTCAGAGGGAACGCAGGCTCCGCATCTGTTCATCCTGAATTTCCAGATTCTCCAGCCGCGCCCTCTCATCCCAAGCTCAAGTCTTCCAAGGGCGCAACGAGGAAGCCACCTGCTGCTTCCAACCATGTATCGTCCTCCCCTGCTCCTTTAAAAGCAGTAGGCAAAGCCACGAGTTCACTCGCTGTGTCAAGAACCAGCCCTAGTACGTCTGAGGCCTTGAGAAAGTGTGGCACAGCCTCCAGGACTCCTAAGCCCAAGGCTGCCCTGACCCAGAAGGCAGGAGCTCTGCCTGCGTCTACACTCCCACCAAGTAAATGTTCTAGAGAACCAGAACCCAGGCGCTTGAAACACAGTCCTAGTTCTTGCAGGCACGATGCACCTGTAGGTTCATCGTCCAAGTGCCCGAAGGTACCTAAAGCAAATCTGTGCAGAAGGCCTAAGTCTCCTCTCCAGTCCCCTGCAAAAATGACGAAAGCGAGCTCTCAAACTACAGTCCCTGGTCCAGGAACACAGTCGTCGGACGGAGCCCCACAGGCAGGGGTGACCCCAGCCCAGAAACCCAAATCGGCCTTGAATTTAAAACAGCCGCTTTCAGTATCCTCAGCTTATCCTGCTAAAGCTGCGCAGGAACTGAAGGACAAGAATACAGTTTCAGTTGCCAAAAAGCCGCCTCAGAATAAGAGCAGCTGCCCGAAGACAGGCCCCAGCTCCTCCAAGTCTCCCGGCCGCACCCCTCTGTCCATCGTGAGTGTTCCTCAGGCTTCTGCCAAAACACAGACTGCGCCAGCGTCCGCACAGACGGCAGCGAAGGGCCAGCATGCAGCGAGAGGGCCTCCAAAGAGTGGCAGAGCCCCAGCGGCACCCAGGAAGCCTCCCTCTTCTGTGGGAGCAGAGAGCGGGGAGAAGAAACTTACCTCGAAGAAGAAGGAAGATGGGGACCACTATTTTGTTATGACTGGGAGCAAAAAACCTAGAAAGTGAATACTTACGTGTCATTCTAAGACACGAGGGGAAAGGAGCAGACTATGCTAGCTTCGCATGTTCAGAGTTTGTCCTGTTTGCTCAAATACGGGCAGACGCTGAGAACAGCCAGGGGAGGCTGGAGGCTGGGCAGCAGTAGAGGCTGGGAGGAGGGAGGGTGCCTCAGAATTCAGTCTGAAGTCTCCGGAAGATGCCCTCGGAGGCGAGATTCTTATTATTTAACAGGCATGTCTGTGATTTCAGTGCAGAGCATGTTCGTTAACGTCTGCCCTTTAAGGGAATGCAGAAGTCAAATAACACTACTGGAATCAGATCTGTACTTGCTATATTTTTTAATAGGTATTAAGTATGGAGGTTATACACCTGCTAATAGTAACAGTGGTGCTCTTAATATTAGTTGCATTTTAGTGAAAAACAAAAGCAATGGTTTGACGCTTGTCCTACAAAAAGCAACTAATTTGATGTCCTGATCAGGATTGCCCGGTCCAGCGATACTGTGTACCAGGGGCTGCTGCTCATTAGCTTGATGTCACTGGGTTCCGTAGAATTCTTATTAAGTCTTTAAGTTTTCCAAATCAGGAGGAACTGATTTTTTAAAACCTGGCTTATATTAATAATGGTAATATTTTGTTTCCAAGATTTTTGGTAACAAATTAATTTATAGAAACATAAGCTGAAATTTAGTAAAAAATAAAATAAGATTTTCATATATTATCTGTAAAAATTTAGACACCTTACACTTTTTAGATGGATTTTGTGCAATGTGACAGGGAAAACTCAGTAGCTTTTCACAAAATAAAATATTTTAATTAATTTTCTATGAAAGCAGATACGAATTTTTACATTAAAATAATGTTTCAATATCAGAATTATGTTTTAACAATTTTACAATTAAGATATAAAAGGAACTTATAGAAATTCTATTGTTTTTTTGAATTATATAATACCCATTTTAGTTAGATGCTTTCAGTTCTGATAATTTTCTTTGATAAAGTCATGCTGCCTCCGTTTCCCCATGGCCAGTAGATGGTATGTGCGCATCCCAGCCCTGTGTGGGATTCTCACAAAACACATCCGGGTCATATAACAGCTGTATAGACTCCACCCATCCAAGAGGACACTTGTAAATAATTTATTTAAGGGACCAGGATTATTTAAATATTATTAATGTACTTTGAGAAGTTTAAGAGTGTTTTGAATAACTTCACAGTGTTATCACTTATGACAAGTTGTGTATTCAATATTGAGATTTGTGTTTTAAACTCAAATGTGTTTTCTAAAGGAGAATAACAGTTTACACAAATGTACAAAGAGCATTTTAAGCTAGTTGCTAATATTCAGTTAAAATCAAAGACATAGGTTAGTTTTTGGTGTAATCAACGCATTTCTTAAATCAGATAGCCATCAGATATTTGGTTTGGTTCCTATATTGTTTTGGACATTGAGAGAATATTTACATCTTTGGGAATAAAGTCAGTGTACAAGAAATAAGTAGGAGCTTTACTTTTTTAGTAATCAGAAATATTTCATGCACTGTTTAAGGAGGATGAAGTTTACCTTCATGGAGTTTATTCTAAAATCAAGCAACATTTCTATATTAATATTTTTTTAGAACTTAAAAGAAACAAAAATGATATTGTAGCCAGCCTATGGGTTCAAGTAGGTTTTATATGTAAACACTAATTTTTGTGCTGTGAGCAATCAGAAATAGGTAGCCACAGGTACCTAGCACAAATTCCAGACTTAATTTGAAAAGTTGGAAATGAACTTAATGAACTATTCTTTAGGAAGAGGGAATTTCTCCAGTTATATTCATATGGGATGAATGTTTATTTATATATAGCTTACCTTTATACCTTACTTTATACAGGTTTTATATGAATAAACAATACCTGAAAGATAATTTCCTCAAATATATTTTGACATTCTCCTAAAGTGCTAGTGTTTTTAATCATTTCCACAATTTTTAAAATAGATTTTACATTGTTGAAGTTGGAATGGAATTTCACTTCTTAATTGTGCAGATTTTATAAGTTCTTTTTTATATTTACTAAAACAGGTATTAAATTACTGAAGTGCCTCGAAGAAGAAATATGTTTTCTTAAAAATGGAGGTTTTGTTTTTTGTATTTTGCTGTAATTTGTTAATGTGACTAATACATAGATCTTCAGAGAAAAAGGAAATGTAGATTGTCTTTACACGGTTCAGGCTTCCGGTAGATTTTTAAGGCTCAAGTCTTCAAAATAGCTTGATAAATTAAATGACTTTGACCTTACCTCTCCATACTGAGTTTACAATTCTTAATAGCAAAGGAATTTTTAAAGGAAAAAATGTTGTTTCTTCTCCAGCCTCTTCATCTCAAACTGCTTTAAAATCTATCACTTTTTAAAAGCCTTCAATAGCAGGTTGTTATGATATGGTCTAACATCCTGGCTTCCAAGCTGAGTCTACTTGAATCCACATTTGTGTATTATTCTTTACTTGTGCCAGCAATATTTGTATCCAATTTTAACTTACATTTTCTCAAGTATTAAAATTTAAATATAAACCAAGTTCTCAATTTGTTTTTTATTTTGTTTTTTGTTTTTTCTTTCTTTTTTTCTTTTTTTTTTTTTGGTGCATTTCTAGGACATTCTGATCACCTGACTCGTGGTGAGTTGCATAAAGGAGATGGTTTTAATTTTTTTTTTATTTAAAATGCCCTTTTATATTTGTAGAATTTATTTTGCTTCTAGGAGATTAGAAAGTGTTGACATTAAGAAACGGTATTTTGTTCCGCAAATTACCCTATCTTCCTAAAGTTCCGGAAAGACTGGACTCAAATTTAATAATCTTTGAGGTAAAGAAATCATTTATTAAAATTAAATTCTCTAGGTCACTAATCCTATAATCACATTTCAATTTATACTCAGATGCAGTGAGAATATTCTGGAAATACTTGTTCTTTCTCCTATAGTGATGACCAGAGCAGTTATAAAAGGCAGTTGATTCAGTATGTATCTCCTGTGATGTTTTCAAAATAGAAAAACACAATTTGGCTTAATCTTTTCTGGATGTAAACTTTTAAAACATTTATGAAATTTTGAAGAACATTAGGAAAATATTAAAGCATTTTTTGGTAAGTCTGAAAATACAAGAACACAAATTTTATTAAATTAAGCTATTTTGTAATAAACATTTTGTTCTTACAGAAAAATACAGTAAGATTTGGTCTTGAAGAAACAATATATTCAAAGATTTATCTACAAGGATGTCAGTCAGCATATTAATATTGGTATAGTTATAAGAATACCATAAAGCCATTTAAAACCATGTACACATTTACTTACCTTAAAAGCAGTACAAATGGTGGTGATGAATGTTTTTGGAGACTGCAATGATAATATATAATAATTTTAAATTTTCTACATTTGGGCAAGAATGGTACAGTACCTGTTATAGGTCTATGAGCTTAATAAATGTTATCTACTATAAGTAAACTCATAACTAGTCTTTTAGTGCTTTATATGCTACATTTCATTGAAAATCACCACTTAAATTATTTCACCAATTACTGTCTAGGAAAGAACAAACAAGATGGAATGAATAGAAGATGGTTGTGACCATTGAGGGCCTCTAGAGCCAGCTGTGGCAGTGGTGAAATGCATTTGCATCCCCTCAAATCGCCCTCTAATTCCTGCTGAGTGTGGAGGGCGCCTCTGCAGGTGGGAAGAGAGATGAGACCCTCACTGTGTTCAGGATCCTGGGATTTAAGTGGCACTTTGCAAGTTATAAAACACTTTCAGTTGCGTGACACCCAATATTCCCCAAAATTCTACAAGCTAGGTCTTTGTTAGACTCTAAGAACTAGAAAGACAGGAATTATATGTTTTGCTTATTACTGGGTTCCCAAGGTCTAAACCAATGTCTAGCACGTAACAGGCATTCTGTAACTAGTTGTTAATAGATAAATGAATGAACTCACTTTTTACAGATGAGGAAACAAAAGCTCCAGTAAGTTTAGTTACTCAGTAGATAAAAAAATACCTACTGGAATTAACTGAAAAAATATATACCTTACTTTATAAATTATTGAATTGCTCTTTATGTTAATGTGACTCAGAAAATAAGATTTATGTGGAGTCTTTAAACAATCTGAAATATCACCTGCTTTTTCATTATTTCTTAGAAAAATCTTAATCTTATTTTTCATTACCTTTTATTAAATATTGTAGGTGTGAAGATTTAGAGATTAGTATATTCTTAAGTTCTGAGTTTGGTTAACAGTTATAGAATGCCCATGTTTAAAGCACTGTTTTTGGAACACTGAATTATTGATTCAATCTTCAAGACAATAAAATAAAGGTGCTCTGTAAATATTTAGTGGATAAAAGAATAAGAAAAAAATCTAGCACAAAGTACATACAGCAGAATTAAAATAACTTCTGATAGTGCAGTGAAAATAGCTGTTGTAAAAGGTAGTGTAGGGAGCCTTAGAACCCTAGAACCTACTTTCTAAATGCATTTGAAATTAAGTGACTGTCCTCTGCTTCAGAGGGTTTGTAGGTTTTTTCCAGAAGTAACAAATACATTTAAATTTCTCTCACACAGACTTGAAAATATGAGACGAGGTTGTTATGTGGGTTCCGTCAGTAATTCACTGTACCATGGTGTGTGCAAGAGCCCAGTATCTGTAGGAGAATAGGCCAGACTGTGCTGTGTATTGGAAGAGGAGTGGAATGTGACATTTGAAATTTTATTTTAAGCCCAAGCATTGAAAGAAAATGAAGACATTTGTCTTCAAACTGAGATTTTTCAGTAGTTTCCATTTACTTTAAGCATCAGCAAAAGTATTTTTGAAGTTCATGAAGCCTCAGGACTCCTTACAGATTAAAAAAGAAATAACCCGACTGAAACTTACAGTCTCAGGGGAAAATAGTTTGGAGTCTTTGGGTATCCCAGAATGAGGTGAGAGCCAGGCGCTGTTGCTTTGACTTTATGCACGCCTTCCTGACCCTGGCTCACAGGTACCCTTCACGTTTCAGCTTAAATATCACTTGCTCAGAAGGTTCAGGTCCCCACGCCTGTACTGGCTGCCTCCAGTACGCTTTCTTCCCACCTACTTTTTCTTATCATCGCACTGCATCTAATGCTGGAATTTCCCATTTACTTATCTCATCTTTCACCGCCTTAGAGTGGGAACTCTGTTCCACTTAATTCACCACCGCATCTCCTGCGTTCAGCACAGTGCCTAAGTGTGGAAGATAAGAGCGAAGGACATACCTGCTCACTCTTAGAAATAAACCTTCAAGAACGTGAACTAATAGCTTCATT